GTGAATGCAGAGCACTTTTCATATTACGAATGTACATTTCGTTTTTGTTTTGTTTTTGTTTTTTTTTTGTTTGTTTGTTTGTTTGTTTTTTTTTTTTGTCTGGATGAGTGTGTGTTTAAGTGAGTTTTAAAAGTAGTAAAATTTCAATGTTTCAGTCCCACATTAATTTCGTCTGGTTAACTGATATTTCGACCGCAATTTAGTGTTGGAGAGAGGACGTTTATTACTCACACTGTTTTGTTTTTGTAAATAGAACTTGTACACAATGTAGTTAGAATTTTAGAAGTCGTTATGTTTTTCCCCTCTTCCACAGATAAATTATACTCGTGGTGACTCTAGTAAAAATGTGTTGTTTTGGTGTAAGGTATGGTACGTTTGGGTCTATGATTGTAACTAGCTAAGTTTAGATATAAGGCAGATAAATACCAACTTCCCCATCTTCCCATGGCCATGTGCCAATTTTTTTGTAGTATACAAAAATAAATATCACTTTCCAAACTAATTTAGATAGGGCGATGCTATTGTGACATTATTTCACCTTTAAAAATATCATACAGTTATTGTAGCGCTGTTTAAATTTACATGCTGTTGAACCAGTCTATATTATTATGGGAAGTCCTATGAATTCAACCTCAATTTTATCAGTTAAACATTGTTCATTGAAGGAGTAATTTTCTGTTTACTATTTAATAATTTTTCATTATGCTCTTTTATGGTATGTTATATGTTCGGAATACAACTATAATTAATCTCTACGATATTCTTATTGAAAACTTTATGAAAACACAGGAAAATGTTTGTGCTATGTTGAAAACGTTTCGCCAAATTTAGACTTTACTTGTAAATTAAGACGGACAGTAAATCAAATGATTCATTCTTATTTCACTTTAATTGTAAACTACTATTTTGTAAGTTATCTTTGATAAGAATAAACATTTCTATTATTCTTTACAGTTCATCCTTAAGTTGTCGTTCGCAAAATTCAAATAGGATCATGTTCAAGTATCGCTGAGTCTTTAAATTAGCGACATTTTGGCAATATCAAGTCGCGTCACGAATGTCGTAACGCACCAGGATCATGGAAGTACACGTACTACGGAAGTGGCATGTCTAGGGCAATATATAGTCCGATGAAACTTCTCCCTCTTCAGGCTGGTTTTGAATTCAGTTTTCCTTCTCCTAGACTTATTGCTACATCAAGGCAAGGGAGTCCAGCATGCACTGTTATTTAACCCATATCTGGGGAGAAATACCATTCATACTTTTACGATGGGTATTTGTACAAAAGCGAACGTAATGATCTCGACTGAAATTCGCTGATTTCTCTTTCAGAGTCACTAATCGCTACAAACGCTACAAATTGCCTACGTTTAAAGTCTACTTTCTTTGTTTCTCACTTCAGTCGTATTATGCATCAAAGTAGTGATACTTGTGTCGAAACTAATGCAAATAAATGTTGATTATTATCAAATAAGCATGAATAAGACAAATGCATCTGGACAATTTTGTAATGTCACTGCCAAACATTTGATCAAATAAGTGATTAGAAACGGTAAAAGTTAAATTTATTCGTTCTGTTATCGGATTCAGCAAACTGCAAAAGTTGATTACACTAAAACCAGCAGTTTGTGATTGCGATCAAAAAATAAATTTTGTTATTTTAATCCTGTGGACACCAATATTGAGAATCAATAAGTAAACTCCAGAAGTGAAAAACAATCAGTGTATTGCAACATGTCAACTTAATCCATGTCTTTTCAAATGTGCCTTCAGGCTATCTGGTGACATCTAGCCACCATATGAACACCAAATGTGAAAAAAACATATATTGCATGATTCCATTACGCTCTTCTTTAATATCCCCTGTTTCTGTTTTGTTAGCTCTTCTCACAAAAACGCTGTAGCCTGAAATAATGTTGATCTTCCATATTCGTCTGCTTGGAAATAAGCAGAAACAAAATTCAAAATATTTCCCTTGAAAATTACTCAAGTAACAAAAATAATTAGATAAAGCACTGGTATTTTCCATGATTATTTAGTATTATTTAGTGACATTGTGTATGTGATCGATCGTTCTGTCTAGAAGAAGAAAACAAAAACTCCAATAGAAAACCTACAACCTAGGGAATTTATTATCGTCCCATTTTGGTGGGACTTGACAAATACCTTCGTGGATTAAAGGCCGTTAACGTGTACTATGCACTCTATCTTAATGCTTCATAGTACAGGTCTGAACACTTTCTGCATCAAACGGAAGAGAAAACAGGCAACACCATAATACCGAAGCTCCCTCTTCTGCAGTTCCGTACGGGTATTACAAGTGTCTGTGCAACAGATCTGAAGTTTTCATTCGCGAAGCCTAGTCATGATGTTATCAAATGAAACAAGTCTCATAGAGGTGAACAAACATTAAAATTAAAAAAAAAAAAAGACAACCAGACATAAAAGAATAAAAAAAGTGACAAAAAGAAAAAGACGCGAAATTCCTGTAAAAATAAACACTGATGGCGGAAAAATTATTTTTAAAAAAATTATTAAATTACCCATTCAAATTGATTTCATTTTTCCACAATAAAAGTGAAATTCATTCAGAAATCACGAACAGAGGAAAACAATATTTTTCAGACTTTCATAACCAAAGTCAAAGCTTATTTGATGACCAAAAATAGAGCAACGAGAACTGTAATTACTTTTTTTGGCAAAATGGTGTATGTAACCAACTTTCTTTTCTTTTTATATTAATAAATCGAAAGCTTTTTCTCTTCGTGTTTAGCTAGTGTGATTATGCGTGAGTATGTACTTGTGTTTACGATCGTAATTATTCGTATATATGTGCGGAGGTATGAATAAATGCGTGAGTAAGCATATTTATTTGTGTAAGTACATATTAAAATAATTTTTTGATATAAAAGTTGCATATAATATATGAAAACAAATCGGTATTTGACAAATTTGACTTATAGCAATGTATCCAACTATCTGCAAATATATTATATATTATATATGTAAGTATGACAGGTTCAAACTAAACTCTCATTTAAGAATCGTCTGAAGCCAACATATTTGCAAAAAGTGAAAGTTTATTTTGATTGACAAGTTTAAATTTGTCAAACTCCGAGTCAAAAAATTATGTTTGTTTCAAACGCAATAACTGAAATGTATTGCAGAAAATTTGTTACACACACATGACAGAATTACAAAAACTTTTCGATAAAAAGTTTTCATTTTTATTTTCTCAACGAATAAATTACTCCAAGAGAGTTCATATATTTTCAACTTCATATTACACTTGAGAAAATGATATTTTCTTTTTTAAATAAAATTCGGTTTTCGATTCTACCAGCCAAGTTTTCAAATGCTGATTTTTTTCTGAACAGGCGGGAGGTTATTTCCAACTGGAAAATTAGTGTAGCACAATCTTTGTGAGGTACTAAGAAGTTATATTTAAAAGTCTAACAGGGATAGTCTCTTTTCGTTTCTATTGGCCAAGCGTACAAGACAAACGAAGTATTGTTAATATTTGAAATTCTACGGAATAGAGATAGAAAAGGCATAACTTCATGCTGCCCCGCTTAATGCTTGATCGTTCAAATAAAATTAAAATATTATTGCTACTTTATATCAGCTCATTTTACCGACCTCATAACATATAGGTTAATAATTCAACTCTGCTACATAATCACCAAGTCTTTATCGCCCAAAAATATTTCCTCTTTATACGTTACGATTGTTTTTCATTACTATTTTTGACAATAATGCGAAGTATTCCGCAATGTGTCTGCAATAATAATAACCAATAAGATCGTTTTTATATTTCGTTGGTAAAAACATTTTATGCAATAAAAGAATGCTCGGATTTTGCGAATAGAAAATGTATTCATTCGAAAATTAACTTAAGTTACCACGTAACTCAGTCTATTAAGTTTATCCTTACTGATGATCTTTGACGAGCAAAGATAATTTTGTGAACGGCACATTTTCTGATGAGTACATTTTCCTGAATTACATAGCCTTTAATCAAATCAAATATTGCTTTTAGCTCCATTTCAGTGAGGAAAAATGATATATTTGCGAAGATAATAATTTGACTGAGAATATATTCCTACGCGTTTTGTATAAATTAAAACGGTAAATCTTCTCGAGATTATTCTCATAATGTCACTTATTTTTCTTTGGACGACGTAGAAATATTGTACAGAATGAACCCATTTCAAGTTCCTTAATATTTAATCGCTTTAATACGGTTTTTGCAACAAAATAAAACTCTTACTGATACTAAATTAAATGAATCAATACTTGAAAAGGGATCATTAAAGATATACATTTTGATTCGATGTTTACTCTTGTCCACATTGTGAATACGCTTTTTAGACCTAATTAGTATTTAAGTCGAGGCATCAAAACATCACTTCATAAAAGTAACCAGATAGCTAGACCGTAAGTTATATCCTAATAGTTTCTTTTCTTCTACTTCTCACCTGTGGGGCTTTCCTCCGAATTATTGCTTCTCTGTCGCCTACAATCTTCAGAAACTGAAATGCAACGTCAATCGCCATTTTCTGTCTTCCCGAATCTTGTTTTATTATTGCCGTTTCTCCTGATTGAAGTCTTCTCATTCTCTTCCACTCTCAGTAACTCCTCCCGCCTTGCTTGCTGCGAAATAAATAATTATATTCATGTAATAAGAAACCTGTATTAGAGAGGGATTATTGCCCCAAATACATGATTATTAAATTATCTGACCCTACAGCCAACAAAGAAAATAACACCACAATAGACAATACATTATGTATCTATTCACATTTGTCAAGTTTACAGGTTTGGTTGGCCTACTCTATGACCGCCTCTAGGACAACAACCAAACCTGTAAACTTGACGAACGCTTTCAGTAAAAAGATGTATATGCTTGACATATTGCGATGAAAACGAAAGTATTTACTCGTTCATAAAATTGTATAGACATTGGTGACTAAAGGTTATATTTTCCTTTTCCTTTACAGAGATCCAAATTACGATTGGGACAGACCATCAGCAAAAAATGAATGGCCATCTCATACAGCATCAGGTCGGGAGTACATATTACTGGACGCCAAACATGTTCATAATTTTAAAGTTTCAAAAGGTCTGAGATCAAAGGAATGTGCCTTCTGGAAAGAATATCTACCTCAACTAGTCGCGGCCACATGTAAGTAATTTAATCTACATCTATTCACATTTTTCTTTTATATAAAATTAAAAATTGTTAGCGACCCTCAGAAGATCGTGTGGGCTCAAGCTTAAAAATATGTTTAAATTTTAGTTCTTGCAGAACAATGAAAAATGATCACTGAAATCCTTTCAAAATAACAAATTAATCTAAAAATACTAATTTTTTTTTTCGTTTGTGCTCTTTTTCCGCTTGAACTAAAAATAAAACAAAACCTGTTTATCCATTTGTATTGAATGTTTTATTGTTGCGTGATTAGATCACACTAAAATCTTTCACTTCTATATATAATAATATAAAATATTTTATATTAAGTTCTGAAAAATTACATGCACTTCGCTTAATGCGCGCAATTGCTTTTAGCTTATGTAAGAAAAGCTTACCAAATCATACTATGAATTATAATTGAGCATTTTGATGGTTAATATAAGGTAACCAAAATGTTCTTGCCGTTTTTTATGTCGTGTGGAAAGAAGTGATCACGGAGACGCAAATGAATGTCTCACGTGCTGGGAAAGCGGTGTGGGGAGGCATTGCTCTTGAACAATGCATGTGCGTTGCGCAAATACATCAGTCATAGCTCGAGCAGTGGTGAGGAAACCTGTCAAAGTAAACTCGTTCGTTGTTATCTGTTGTACGACATTAAGGTAGGCCTGGTCACAGTCGCATCAAGTCGTAGAATACATCAAAGCTTTGGGGATAATGCTGTGAGGGAACGCACCGCTAGGCATTGGTTCCAGAAGTTCAGGTCGGGATATTCCTGATGAAGCCCGCAGTGGGCGGCCACAGGCCCTGGATGATGAGGTCTTAGAGGCGGTCATAGAATAGGACAACAACTAAACCTGTAAATTTGACGAACGCCTTCAAGTTTCTGATGAAATAATCAGATTTCACCTGTACTGCACAGAAACTGTTTTACGCCGAGATTATGGCTTAATCAATTTTTTTTAATCTTCACATTGTCTATCTTTCCAATCCACTATTTTTAAACATTTTATTGAACAAAAATTGATGCAAGCTGACTTTAAAATTTTCAATGAACTTTTCCCCCAATTTCTCTACACGCTTTGTAATCAATCGAATTCTTCCTCAATTATTATAAATTCGGTTTTATTACTGAAATACCTCTATAATTACGAAGATAACTTACGTGGTTATAAAGTTGTACGAATGGGTTCAATCCCCAGAAATTGATACGAAAATGATTTGAAGCTGTAAAGAACTTTTGTTGCATTCATGTGATGATATAAAGATGCTTTAAGGAAACTCTTTAAGTTCAAAGATCTTAAAGCTCCCAAAAATAAATATAAAATAACAAATAATCTGGCAACAAATACGTAGTAATAAAGTGAGGTTAATTGTAGATATGTTATAAAGGCTAGAATCTCTTTTTATATCGATATATGCACCTATGAATACATGAGAATTTTTGTATGTCGGTGATATTGGGACACAAGTATTTACGTCTATATGCACGTGACGATTGATGGCGCCCGTGAATCCCTCTATCAAATCTCGTGTCTTAATGAGTGTGCTCATGCTGTTCGTTTATCTGTGTAAAAATGCATAATGATTGCATTGTACATATACCTTGCAATGTCTACCTGTCTTTGTGTTTAGAAATTGATCTCCGTGTGTATGTGTGTGGTGAGTTCATGCGTGTATGCGAATAAACGTATGAATTCGAATTTGTTAGTGTGGTGGCTACATGCTTTCACGTCAGAAATGTGACTTTCATGTTTCCAAATTCTCAAATCTCAAAAAAACGAACATTTTTATAGTGATATTTTCAAATCGTTTGTTTTATAACCTTTTCCACCGCTTTTCGCCAGACTGTGTCATTTAACACGAGTAAGTACTCATGAGTCAAGTCATGACGTTTATCTGTTACTGACGTTAAAAGCTTTCGTTGTACAGTTGTTGTCTTATACCATTAAAACTGAAGGTAAAAATATACCCATTATTATAGTGTTAAGTTTTCCAGAAACAAAAATCGTCCGGGCGACATTTTTTCCATCAAAACATACAATATTTTCCTAATTTCTGCTACTCATAACTTTTGTAAAATGTTTGTATTATCTACAAAACATCAGATCATTTGTTACGCAATATTAGTAAACAAGATTAGTTGTCATCACAAATAATATACCGTCCGCTAAATTTATTTGGCCAGCTCCAAAAAATTAAGACGAGATAGCGAAAATGACAAATACGTAAATTTGAAAAGCATTTTAGAAATTCCTCTGATCAAAATGTTAAAATGAATCATTCCTTACCTCAAATTCTACTTTTTTATTACGATATTGTATGATTAGCAAACAAAGTTTACTCTACGGCGAGATTTAACTTTTGTTGTAAAATAAAAAATATTTAAATGCAAATAGATCATGTTGGATAAAAAAGCTAAAAAACCTTTGTAGTCGAATGAATTAAATTGTCTTGCGTATTGGCATCGTGCTCGTATATATATATATATATATATATATATATTGTGTATATTTAGGCAGCATCTTTTCATTCATGTACATCTCATTAAATAATATAGACAAGTGTTGTCTATTTATTTTATGTAAAAAATTTTCGGAACGTCTGATAAATTTAATAACATTATCGTTGAACGAAGAAAGAAATTCACAATATTGATCCATATTTTTTTAATACAATGTAAGTTTTCGGCTTACATAAGCCATTATCAAAGATGTCAATTACAACATATTAAATAGGTATCTCCACTATTCCGGCATAAATTTTCTATATTTAAGTTTAAAATGAATTTTTTACAACGAAAAAACATTCTTGAAGATTTTATTTTAGCTTTAAAAAAAAGTTTAATCATTAAATTTATGATTTCCGTTAATTAAACAATTCTGGTGTATTTCAGATAGAAACTATATACATTTGATTGTCAAATTTAAATTCAAATTTTTAAATTTTCTTAAAATCGGCCATTTTCTTAATTTTAAGAAATTTGTAAACAAACACAAATTTATCGATTTTGAAAATATTTTTAAAAATTTCTGACACGTTATTTTAGTAAAATTTTAAAAAATAAAGTTAAAGTAATCTGATTTGAAAGAAATCTTTCTTACTTATAGCATAAAAAAATAATATACAACCAATTATTAACGAGCGGTCCTGTTCATCTGATCAAACTATTGATGGATTGTTGAATGACGAACCGATGACAGATACTACTGATGACCATAAATGACATAATTTTTAAGTCTGAGTTTTTTTTTTAATTATTCTATTTGAGTATGACATACACTAATGAAAATACAATACATAAAATAAAACTATTTAGTGAAATAGTAAATGAAAAAAAGAAAAATTACTTTAAAATTTAAAGTTTACACTTTTAAAGCTGAACGGAAAATACAACCTGTAAGAAACGAAATGTTATGAAAAGGCCACGTAAAGGGACAAAACCCTTAGATCACGTGACCTCGTTATAATAATGGCAATTTCAGTATATCATACATGGGAATAAGGAATGTATTAAGTAAAAAAATACAACATAAAAAATTATTTTTAAAAAAAGTAGCGCAACTAAATTTATTAAACTTAGCAATTTTGGACTCGTAAATTTTTTTTTCCACTTAATTACTACATCACCTCGAGGAACCCTCCTAATACAGAGCTTTACACGATTTTAAACTATTATAAATTATTATAATTAAAATTTCTTAAAAAACGAAAAAATTCTTGTAAAAATTAATTATTCATCAGAAAAAAATTATTTCTTCAGACAATAATGTCCTTAATATTAATTATTTACAAAAGCAATTAAAAGTTTTTCTAATTAAGTAATATCATAGTTTTATTGGATTCATTATTTTTCAATTCAGAGCAGATTAGATAGCTCAAATTTGAAAAATAAAGTAGGTTATTTACCATCTCCAAAGACTCCTACGTTTAACAAAAAAAAAAATTCAGGAACCAAAAAGGTTTTCAGCGAAATTTCATTAAATTAAGTAAATGTGGGGCAACATATTTTTAAAAATTCTATTTTTTACCAAAATTTTCTAAAAAAAAATATTTAAAAAATAATTTCATTCATTTATGAATAAGCCCTGAAAATTTCATTAAAATCAGACAATTGCTTGATTTTTACAAGAATTTCCAAATCAATATGTTTTCAACGGAAAAAAATCGCAAAAAAAAATATGTTATTTTCTGTGACGCCGCGATGACGTAAACAAAAGAATTTAACCAAAATTTCGAACGTGTTAGAAAGGATTAAAAACTTTCAAAAAATAATTAAAAAATACTTTGGTCTTTCATCTTAATAATAACATAAGCATTTTGACGATAAAACTTTATTTTAGTTAAGTTTTTGGCATTTTTCATTACGCTATATGCTGTTTTCCCGCGAAAACAGTGAACATATTAAACAATATACGGACACGACAGTGATGATAGTCAGTCATTGTTTACATAGATGATTTCTAAGCAACGATAAACACGCGCATATAAGACGCTAGAAGAGAAAATCGCACCGCATCTCATGACGTCACATATGACCACACGATTGTGAATTGTAGAAGTATGGGAAGCCATTGGTTAAAAATAGTTTTGTTTTTGTTTTTTTGTTTGTTTGTTTGTTTTTTTTTAAGCATTTCACCCCAAGCAAGGCGGGAAGCCACTAGGTCGCAAGGGGTTACAGAAAATTTACAGCAAGAGAAACAGGAGAAGGGAAGGGAGTTCCACAGGCGAGAGGTGCGAGACATGAAGCTATTAGAGTAGAAGACGGCTACATTTAGGAGTTTCGACAGTGAGGGGGTGAGCGGGATGCCAGCCTCGTAGGGCGCTGGAACTCATGACGTCTGGGAACCAGCGAATGCAGCTCCTCGGAGCAATTTCCATGAAAGTATTTGTAGAACAGACAGACGGAGGCGACGGCGCGTCTGTGAGAAAGTGACTGCAGACGAGACGCCAGGGCAGGGCCAACCAAATTGCATATCCGCCTCTGGAGCCTATCAAGAAC